AATGGAGCTCCTGAGGCAATGCTGCATTTCTTGAGCGCAGAAGTGACTAGGAGGGAAGATGAGTGAGGCTGTGGGGGCAACATTCCATTTCCTGATTCAGAGACAGGTTATGTGGGTGTGTTAATGTTGTGAAAAATCACTGCCCACCCCCCATGTATGCTTCTCAACTTATATAATATTAATATTTCAATTTATAAGTTCCTTAAAAAAAAAAATCAATGGGTTACTACCCACAATCTTCTGTCTAATTTTATGGAAATGAAATGCCCCTTTGAGATTTGCAGAAGGAGAACATGCATGTGTAAAAAACAGAAACACCTCTAAAGTGCTAGTTAACTCTTAGCCAGGACTGGGCTTATGGGTACCTGTCGTTTGATTGAAACCAACTCCATGTCTAGTTGTCTCAGCACCGTGGTAGCAGCAGTGGCATTGGCAGAAACAGCCTCCACATCTTCTTGAGAAAGAAACATTCCTTTTGGGGGTTTCCTTTTTGCTCTATTTTTAGCTTGTGTGCTATGTTTTTCTTTTTTGACCTGAGGAACTGTCTCAGTAGGGGGCACCTGCATGATATACATATTTGATAAATGAAACTCAAAAATAAAAATGTCAAATGGTCAGTAAGAAGCACACTGATTTCCTTGACATGACACCAAACAATCTAAGGCAAACGCCATGCCAAATCAGAATTGCCATCTACAAGTTCTAATAGGCAGTTAACACATAAAAACTTGGGCTATTAAATTCTGGCTAAATACTTCAACGTGTATTTCCTCCATGTAGAGATATAACTTCCACTTCCTCCACACAGAGATACATTCCTACTCTATCACTTGAAGCCTCTGATAATAAGCACTGTCAGCTTCCGATAGTAATACAGAAAGAAAAAAGTTTGTATTCTCTTCTAGTGAGCTTTATCGCCACATATATGTATATACTATTCATCTATCTTTATGTATACATTATATATTTATCTACATGATATATAGATAAATGACTAGGAAGCCATTTTATCCTAAGAGCAGTCCCTAGCAATACAGATGGTCATATGACCACAGAAAGAAAAAAGATAAAAAATGATTTGGCATATTTATAAGGATCCATAAGGAATTATTTAAATCTTTAGATTAAGAAATATAAACTTTGATGTGAAACTATCACTTGTTATACATCTTTTCTTTTTGGACAACACTTAACTTTTGGTACAACTTATATAACTTGCTCTAGAATAATATATGTTGTCATTTTAAAATGCATGACTG